TTTTGGCTCAGGAACCTCCTTCTGTAAAGCAGCAGCTCCTAAGGCATGACTGCTGATTCCTTCTCATCTGCCAGCTATTATGAAAAGCGTCTCCTGAGAAGAATCTCTATTTCAGTTTGGCAGGAGAAATTCTTGATGCTGAGAGCCCCCACCACAATCAGGGAAGCTGCTGGAAACAGGAGAAAATGAGGTAGCAATAGTACCATCTGACATTTTCCTTGGTAAAGAAGGGGTGCAGGAGAAAGTGGGAATGACCCAGGAGGTAAACCCAGTGCCAGGTGATATGATAGCAGGTCTCTAGAAAGTTTAAGAGAAGTTCCCAGATGCAAAGTTTCCTTGGAAACTTGTTTTCTGGGAAAACCCTGAAATCTAAAGGTCCTCAATGGGGGAAAAAAGAAATACAAGTAACTACTCTTTCAGTGTAAAATTCACATTTCTCTTTGGGCCCTCCATAAATTTCTGTAAAAGTCTCTTTAAAACTAAAGTTCAGTGAAAATACTTTCATAACTAAACCTAGAACTAGTTCTAGGGTTTTTCCCCTTATTACAAACTCAGCTGTAGCCATGAACTATAAAAGGGAACACGAGATATTAAGTACAACTCAGCTCTAGCTCCTAGACTAGCAACTGGTTTCTTCCCCTTGACCCTTCTAATTCCCTTTCAGCTGTGATAGTTCCTGTATTCTGCTTTAATACCTCACTAACACAGTTCTATGCACAGTGAAGTGGAGCTATTTGCTTTTCTGTGAACAGGTCACAAGTATCCAGTAAATTACAAATAAGAATATGTTTCAAGTTACACATATTTTGAAATACCAGATTATCAACTCTAATTCCCGTTCAGCTGTGATAGTTCCTTTATTCTGCTTTAATACCTCACTAACACAGTTCTATGCACAGTGAAGTGGAGCTATTTGCTTATCCAGTAAATTACAAATAAGAATAGGTTTCAAGTTACACATATTTTGAAATACCAGATTATCAACCCAGACGACTTTATAGCTGAAGCACGACGCACTCCTAGAGTGCATAGAGTTAAAAGTTACATTGATGTTAAATGAAGACACATATAACATCCTCCACTGGTAAGCTTAAAAGATGGTTGACAAATCACTAAGAAAATGTTTATATTACTAAGTGGTTTAGTAACAAAGCTAAGCTAAAAATAAAAGCAAAAATTACTCATATTCCTAGAGGAGACCCGTAAATTCTCAGGACCTCCCTTTCCACGAACATGCAGTACCCAATTCCTGATGCAGCTTTGGTCCCAAGTATTTAAAGGGCTATCTGAGAGAGGACACGCTGCACCAACACATGGGACACTCACTGTAGCTGTGGCACTATCCCAGAGCTCTCGGATGCCGGTGTGGCAGGAGTTATTGGAGTCATCGGAGTCATTGGAGAGGGGTACAGAGGCGTGGTTCCCGGTAAAGGGGCTGTGGTAAGAGTCTGTGAGTGGAAGAGCTGGGGAGTTTGACCAGATGTTCCCTGTGTCGCTTGCTGTGATGTCGATTGCTGCGCTGCTTGTTGCTGCTGCTGCTGCCGCTGCTGTTCCTCTAGGATGGACAGACTGTTGGTGCTCTGGACAGGCTGTGGTGTCAGTCCTGTGCCATACGGCATCATTGGGCTGAAAATTGGAATTCCTGGAGTCATTGCGCCCTACAGAAGAAAGCATGAAACAAACCACAGATCCTGTTGACTCCACCTTGGTTTTAAGAGAAAAAGTTTTCAGGAGGAATCTAAAAATAAATCAACGTAAGTCCATCATATCAAACCTGAGGTATATAGCAGTAAATCACTAAAACCAGAAAGCCCTTGAAAATGCAGTTCTTCTATAGAATAAAATATTACCTCTAGGAATCTGCCAGTTCTGGCATTGTTCATCTCTAGCCAGTGATGCTGATACGCTTCTCACACTACCTTGCAAGCATGTCTCAACTTTGATCCACAATTTAACTTGCAATTGTTTGAACAAAGACTGTGCCCATCATACCAAATGCATTCAGAGCACAGCTACAGTCCACTATCTATAAGTTAGTTTAAAGGGCAACCACCAAAATTAAATTCGTATTTCCAACTTGTCGGTCATGTTTCAACTTAAAGGAATCTCATATATCTGCATGTTTCTTATACCTCTGGATATACAAATTGATGGTTTTCAAATTGCGCTTTATAGTTTTATTCTATACCTAGCAGATTTTTTTCAGATCTGCAAACAAAAAACTTGAAGTTACGTGCAACAAATGGAAAACACTTTCACAAAGAAATTCAGATCACAGTTGCATCATTTGTTTTTACCTGAGGGGAAGCTAAACCTTGCGCGTAGGGTGGCAAGCTGTTGTTCTGATCCATGATTCCAGTTATTTCTTTGGTGAGGCCAGAAGTATTTTCTTCAATTAATTTAAATTAACTTCAAATCCTAGAGGGTTTTTAACCCTTTAGAACATTCCAGCAAAGTAGCTTTTTAAGCCAAGCTGAAAGTGTTAGGAAAACATCAGCTCCAGAGAAACGGGCGTTCTAAGTCTAAAATACTAATCAAAGCCTGAAAAGAGAAAGAGTAGTATGTTGAGAGTAATACCTACACACAAACCCGAAAGTAAACCTATCAGCTGCTGAGTTAGATAAGAGACACCCACATACAAATATATATAAGAACATTCACACGCATGCACACACACACGCAATGCATAAAAATAACCTTTTTTAGGCACGCTCTACAGAACCTTTGCAGCATGCTTCTGTTGAAGTTCCTGGCAGGTAACCTGACTCACATGAGCAGGCCTCTGTCTAAGCAAACCCTCCTGCACAAACAACTCAAGCTGTTAATGCTCATTCTACTCCAAGCTCTGCTTTAGCTGGAAAAGCACTGATTTTTTTTTTAATTGAATTCCACTGACTACTAACTGACAAGCTTACTGACACGCTGCTATTAAGTCTCTTCCTGGCCATTTTAAGGCCTTCACAAATATTTTTTATTCTATGGGAGAAGCATCGCTGGTCAAATCAGAATTAGGAAATCCTCTTCCATCCACTTCTACAAAATGAAGCACTAACACATTTCAAACAACAATGACATGTACTTTATGATAAAAAAAGAAATACATGAAGACCAATTTCAGGTACACAACTGAAATGTATGCATGTTTTTTTATCTTTTAACTACACCTCTGTTGCTGTTTTCTGGAAATAAACACCACAAGCGGAGAATTTAAATGTTTAACATTGATATAAAATATTTTCCCATAAAATTATAGCTGTCTTAACTAGATACGTATTGCCCAAAAATACTGAAGGCCATTTTTAGGCAAGAGGTAGACCACCTCAAAATCTGAAGAAAGCCTATTTGGCTTTTTTTTTTTTTTAAGGTATGAGAAGTCAGAATTACATTAATATTTATAGCGCAGCTGAAAAGGTATGGCGTTTTTTTCCCCTGTGACCATAACCTATTATCTTTATCCTCACTGAAGGTATCAAACAGAGCATCCAAGTTTTACAACATAGAGAAGGGAGTAAATTAGATACCTAAACATTACTGCAGAAGCAGCAAAGTGAGCTCCTCAGCAGCGCAGCTGTTTAGTAACAAGTCTAGAGATAGCAGGCACGCCAGAACCCGCAGTTAGGACACCACTTACGCAGAGGTCCATCTTGTAACCGTCTAACCGTGGCTTGCTCCCATCCCCACTACAAACGTCGGGGAACGTTTTTGTCGAGCCAAGAGAGGCAAGAGTCACCCCGGAGCAGGCCCCCAGGCACCCCCGAGCCCCCTCTCGGGATCTCTCCCCCAACACACCGCAGCGCTCGGGAACAGACCCTTCGCACACGAGACGACCCTTCCAGCTTCTTCGCGCCGTCCGGGCCCCCCCACCCGCCC